TTATTACTTTTTTTTTTTTTTTTTACCAACAGTATATAGAGAGTGGATATGTTGGATAAGAGTGGATAAGTGGCTATGTTCAAAGATACTGTTATTTGCCTAAGAACATAAGAATTTTTTCAGTATTTCAAGTCTACAGTTTCTAAAAATATTACAGCATCATTTAACAATATTAAAATCAGATTAAAAAAAACCTTTGTAATGTCACAATTCAAGTATAATATCCAATAAATTTGGAGCACATTTTCCTAAAAGTAACACAGCTCACTGAAAGCTTTGTAACATTTGCAATGTTTTGTAAAGCATCAAATGTATTCTAAATGTGGTGCTAACATAAGGGTCAAATATGTAATCATTTACTCTTCAATTTAGATTGTCCATCTGTAATTTCACTGATCAGTGTTGTGAAAGTCTGGCTTCAGCTCTTCAATCATCAAACTCCTGTCTAAAGGAGCTGGACCTGAGTAACAATAACTTGAAAGATTCAGGAGTGAAGCTGCTCTCTGATGCACTGAAGAGTTCAAACTGTAAACTGGAGAAGCTGAGGCAAATTTAAACTAGTCATTCATTCATTCATTCATAAATAAATAAATAAATATGTATTTATTCCTTTGATGTCTGTCATTGTAGATTATCTGGTTGTATGGTGACAAAGGAAGGCTGCTCTCATCTGGCTTCAGCTCGGAGTTTAAAATTCTCCCATTTGAGAGAGCTGGATCTGAGCTACAATCACCCTGGAGATTCAGTGCTCAGACAGGAGGATCCAAACTGCAAACTGGAAAAACTTTGGTATGATGGACACTTTTTAATTAAATGCAGTTTTATATGATTTACTTCATGAACTCTAAATTAAGGGACTGAGATGATGTTTGTTTACATATTGAACGACAAATAAAATACATATTTACATGTCCATAAAAATAGCATAGATCTTCTGAGAATGTGACTCCAGCAGCAGAAAACGATCCAATTAAACATTTACATAGACAATGTTTTTCTGTTAAAGCTAGGGTAGGCAGTTTCTGCACTAGTAGTATACTACGGAACTACAAAAATAAAGCATGACTTTCTGCAACCTTTGCAAAATTTTACGACAAAATTAAAAATGGTTGATGCCCAAAATGACAGACATGGACCAAACTGTTCAGAAGTTAGGCAGGTGTTGCTGTGCCAAAACTGTGCAAGTACCCTCAGGTCATGGTTTTTATAACATGTACCAAGTTTGGTCTGAATAGCATTGTGGACATATGTAACGGAGTAAAAATAATTAGTTAAATTCATGCATAAATTGGGAAAACTCCCATTGGCTGTTGCATCACTCATTGCGCACATGATGTTGTGGGGCGGAGCTACGTCATCAGCAGCAGAGTCTCTATAATCTCCCTGCTGGTAAATCGCATAAATGATTGCTCCGTCTTAAAAACTAAGTTTGAATTGTTTTCAAGCCCAAGTTTAAACTTGAAACTACACACAAGTTAACTTATTTTGTCTGTCAGTTAATTGTGATGATAAAATGAAGTGTTTATTGGCCTACTTGTGAACTCCGAACTTCTGTTTATTTCATTTAGCTAAGACTTCTCATGCAACATCCAAGATGCCTTTCGTGTCTCTAACCACTGTCAGAATGTGCAGGCTACCAGCGATGGTGAAACTGAGAAGGAGCCACAGGATGATGCGAATGACTCATGTCCTGGATCTTTTGACGCTGCTGAAGTTTCTGCTGCATTGAGTGTTCACTCTGGTGATGAGGTTAGTCTTTTGCCCGTTGCCAGTCCAACATCACTCCAGCTTCCTTCTGAAGACCCGTCTGTAGCAATCCCGTTTTCCAGACTCTCCAGTCTCCAAGAGCAGGACAATGTACTCGGAAGAGTCATCAACTATGTTCTGAGACGTAAACGTCCTTCAAAGAGTGAGAGCGCAAAGGAACCTAGATCTGTGACATACCTTTTGAAGCACTGGAAAAAGCTTAAGATCCGTAATCATGTGCTGTACAGAGTAAAGAGGGATCGGCTGATGAACAGGAAGCTTCTTCAATACGTTGTACCTGATTCCCTAAAGCATGATGTTCTCCGTGGTGTTCATGATGCCGCCGGACACCAGGGGAGTGCGAGAACTCTCTCCCTTGCAGCTGAAAGATTCTTTTGGCCGGGGATGAGTAAAGACATTAAGCTGTATGTGAAGAACTGCCAGAGATGTGTGGTCGGGAAAACTCCGGAGCCAGATGCTCGTGCGCCCCTTAAGCGCATTCGGACC